TCATTCAGAACCTCCCAATTAGTGGAATAAATTAGTGGTTTCAGTTACACTTTATACTTTTTTAGTTAAAACACAATTAAAATTAATGAAATATCCTAGCAACAGCTTGCCGTAGTCTGTTGTATCCATAGAGAAAGCATAATATTTAGCTTTTGAAACAATAAACTTTTGATTTCTAACCAAAATTTTTCTTGACGGGTGATAATCAAAGGCCAAAATGACATTCCTCGCAAATTTTGAAGTATAATTAGTGGAAAAGTCAAGTTTGTTAACTTTTTCCAATAATTGAAAATTACTACCACTAATTATAACGTTCTGAATACTTACATTAAAATTAGGTGAACAAACTTCTACGGCTAATAACTACTAATTTATTCCACTGATTTCGAGGTTCTGAATGAAGCTATAACCTTCATTTAGAATTTAGAACCTCCCAATTAGTGGAATAAATTAGTGGTTCTGAATGAAGCTATTATAAACTTAGGCGTTTTTGAGGATATTTTGATACATTTCGAGGACACTAAGCATAGGTACTATAGTCTATAAAATGAATAACTTTGAATTTTGACCGTTATTTTTTACCAACATGGCAAATATAAAATCCCTCTGTCAAAAAAGTTACTGATATTCTTTAAATTGAGTGCCTGAGCGAATCAGAGAGGTAACTCTCGTGAAATAGAAAAGGAAAATAATAAAACAAGTGACAGTTCTTCCCCTTCTTGCAAAAATCAACACGAAATGTGATAATTGTCAAAAGTAAAATGTTATCAGCTTTTGACGTTTCTAAATATCAGACCAATGCCGTCTCTAATAGAACAGCCTTGGAGCGAGATTTATGATGTCACGCTAGTTAGATACTACGGATTAATAAATATGTTGTAGAATACATGGAAAAAAATATTATTCCTCGTATTTTTAGTTTGTATTTTAAAAATGACATAGTTTACATGAAATATACATAATATACAGTTAATAAATACAATATATATATACCTATTTATGGTATTAAATACTTTGGCAAATAAACTATGAACCATACAAATGCAGCAAATGTATTACAATATATAAATAATGAATAGGTACATAAGATAATGGGTAAAATGTAAAATATATTTTAAATTTTGGGGTTTGAAAATCGATCTAATTTAAAAAAAACATTCAATATCTACTAATAGTGATGTATTATTATTTGCATTCCCAAAATTTATGTGTATATTTTGCACGTATCAATGTTCGAAAAATTATATTTGCAAACAATACAATATCATAGAAAAAAAGGCGTCAGTGTTGGCTATGAGATAATTTTTTTTTATTTTTTTTATATTAGAGACATTGCGTCAGCATGGCCGCAAGTTACTAACCTAATAAAATTAACACTAGAAAAGCCCGCGGGATCTGTCAAATTCAAAGTTATTCGTTTCACAGACTATATATAACCGTAGTTGTGTAGACAACACAACTATTTGCATATTACATTTGACAATGATAAAATCATAGAATGACAACTTAAGGTATGATGACATTTGACTGGTTTTGCATTGTGACCTATTCAGTTTTAATTTAAAAATAGATGCATTTTTTTAAATTCTGTACTTAAAATCGGCTGTCCAAAATTGTTCAAATTTAGCTGCGACCTTTAAAAAACGACCTCATTCACGACTTAGCTGTAAAATTAATAGGGGAACCAATATTTAAACAGTTCAAAATTTGCCTGGGATATCCTACGTTTCCAACGACAATGCACCACCCGGTATGTATTTACTGCATAATTTCTGTAATAAAAAGTTTGTTTTATTATATGCGTTTTTTTCAATAAACGTAACCCCGTCTAGAACGAGGCCACTACTGGATTTTTAAATATTTACCACTGATGTATAATAAAAAAAATATTGTAAATGGATTTTATTAAAACTATAGTTATCATGAGAAAAGTAATTAAAATTAATTAAGTTAGAAGAGCAAACCGCTCAAGTCCTTCTAAACACTCAATTTTGTAAAGAAAGCTTAAATAGCGCTTAATATCTGGAAACTGAAATCTTTATGCTGCATCTTTTTCGCTGGTAAGTTAGTAGATCTTCTTTTGCCAGTCAGTTTTAAAATTCTTTCTGAAATACTGCAGTTAGAAACCTTAAACTATTTTGTAAAAAAAACGAAGTCTATTCTGATTTAGCTAAAATTCCACTTTTTTCAAATATCAAAATATTGAGTGTCAAGTACAAGTTACAAATCATAAACTATTATCTTTGAAATACTAACAGGATTATTAAAAACGTTTTTATTAAATACAGTAGACCTAAATTGGGATCCGTTCGACTTTACGGACACAAGAATTTAAAAAAAATTGTCCTGAAAAGTACGTGTTTTAGTAGGTAATTTAAGCCAAAAAAATTTGCGGATTATCCAGTAAATTTTAAAATATTGAAATAAAATGATGGTACTATTTGATGCTGCGGAGGAATTTTGACAGATGGCACAAACATATGATGGCATTATGGAGTCTAAAAGGAGGAGGCGAATCGAACGCAAAAATTTTGGGCCCAGATTTCTGATCTAAGTGAAGTTCGAAAATCGCCGTTAGGGGCGCATGTGATGATAGTGAGACTAAAAATACACAACTTCTTATGGCAAGAATAACTATTTTGTTATAAATTATAGAGCCAAGTTAATATTTGGGCATATTTTTACCAGAGTTAGCTTTTAGAAACGTGTTTTATTATATTAGTATATAATTAGGAACATAAATACATAACTTTTATTTTGATTAATTGACTAACTCCAAGTAGCTAAATTTAATAAATGTAATATACACCTGAATATACAATAAAGAAATTATCTACTAATAGTAAAATATCATAAAATACATCACTACTGCGAAGTATTTTGTCTGGGAAACTGCTCTTTGCCAATGCTGTAGCAAGTTAGGATGTCTTTCTTCTTTGTCGATGCTAGGATCCTAGTCATCCTAGTAAAAGAGATATACCTTATTTTTAAATAAATTTAAAAAAATATTTTTCCCTATTCGAGGTAGCTGTTATTTTGAAACTACACTTTTGAAGTGTAAACAATGTTTAATATTCACTTTCTATAATATTCAAACAATATTTAAGAGCAATGGTTGTTAATATATATTATTAATACCTACTTATTTAATAACAGGTAATTTAAACACCTAGTAGCACATATATAATAACATGTTAGTAGGTATTAAAGTATTAAATTATTATCATTTTAGGCTCTCTAGGTTATGTCATGCAGATGTTCGATTTTGGGCTATATTCTCTATTAATATGATTTTTAAATAAATCTGTACACTGATAGTATATAATTTTAATGTTTTCCTTAACATCTATCATATTTTTTTTTAAAGAAATAATCATATAACTTACATTAGGAGCTTTGAAAAGTTGTGGGTTATTTTTCTTTCTTCGCTTTTTTTCTCATTGAAATATCCACTTCTACTGCTAAAAATTCAACAAATTAACTATAATTTTAGCAAAAACAAACTTAAACCGTATAATAACAATGAAAATATAGTATCACTATCGATCGCAGTGCCTCTACTGTCAAACCGAGGAACCTGTTTAAAAGTGGGGACCAGGCGGATGAAACTGCCATTTGAATTTTGGAAACACGGCGGGGTTTCTGCCAGTAGAGGGATAGATGGCGCTGCGTAGAAATTTCATCTAAAGTCCCTAGATATTCATCTAGGGACTTTAATTTCATCGTGATTTTATCAAGTCATCCACAGAGTATAGTTTAATTAACAATTCGTTTGATTCTCTGTGGAGTAATTGGAGTAGTTGGAGTAGTTGAAAAATATAAATATTTATATAAAATGTTGATAATTTAACAGTGATGTGCTTTGTTATCCTATGAATAAACATTGATATGAAGTTGCTTTCGCCAGAAACAATTATAATTAAATAATTTAATAAAAATTTAATTTCTAAGTGACCCGGATCAGTTAGATGGTATTAACCTGTGCGACGTTGCCGCTATTTTTCGCCAATTTTTCACGTGCCGGTCGCCGGAGGAACGGCTCCTACGGTGGCGCCATCACGGTGAAAACAAATGAATTATTTTAAAATCTGTGTTTAAAATCAAATCATTGAAAGCACTCAGACTCGTATTAAAATATAAAAAACACAGCTTAACCCCCTCACCATAGAAAACCTTAACCCCCCTCACCATAGAAAACCTAACCAAAGCAACCCAAATCCTAACCAATCTAATAATATTTTTGCAAAAGCAGAGTTAATTATTAAAATTTAAAAACTACAGCGTAACCCCCTCCGCAAAGAAAAGCTAACCAAAGCAACCCAAATGCTAACCAATCTAATAATATTTTTGCAAAATCACAGTTAATTATTAAAATTTAAAAACCACAGCTTAACACCCTCCGCAAAGAAAAGCAACCAAAGCAACCCAAATGCTGATCAATCTAATATTTTTTGCAAAATCACAGTTAATTATTAAAATATAAAAACCACAGCTTAACACCCTCCACAAAGAAACGCTAACCAAAGCAACCCAAATCCTAACCAATCTAATAATATTTTTTGCAAAATCACAGTTAATTATTAAAATATAAAAACCACAGCTTAACACCCTCCACAAAGAAAAGCTATCCAAAAATTCAAAACCACAGAACCCCTAAAAGAATATCTAACATAACCTCACTTCAGTAGAAAATTATATAAAATAATTATATTGACAACGTCGCAAATAGCATGCGAAGGCCGTCGATCAACTGTCAATCAAAAAGTCAATGGTTGCTAGCTCGGAATATTGTAAATACATGTATTTTCTTAATTTTTACGCTTACAAAGAGGTTTTATTGAATTTTTATGCTAAAAACTAGGTCAATCCACATCTATATAATGTAGTAAAGTGCTAATATTCGATGTTTCTACCTAATCTGTATGGAAAATTTAACGTTTTTAGTGTCCGTAATATGGACTGGAACCCTAAATTGATTTCCTCTAAAATTGCTCGTCACATTTTTTCTATAATATTTTTTATTATAAGATAATATAGATATAATACATAATCAAAAGGAAGCCAATCCTATAAAAAATCCTCCTAAAAATCCGGATGTCATTGAGGAACTTCTCGAAGCAAATTTAATCAGATTATCGAACCATTGAGACAGAAATCCTATCGTTTCATCGGACGGATGGGTATTTCTAACTTCTTTTTCTTTCTCAGATGTGTCCGGATTTATCGTGACATAACCTTTTTCTCTTGCATATTGTAGTAAAATAAGGCCGCCGCCGAGAACGACTGCCAAAGCTCGTCCAATTTTCATTGTAAACACTCCCAAAATCCATCCTGAAGTCGAGGCGATAAGAATTTGCTGATTGGAAGGTAATTTCCTGATTCCATTGTAAAAATCTTCGACGTATTTGTTTGCGCTGAACAAATCCGACTCTCGAAGTCTATTTTCTTCCTTATTGACTTTGTTCTTCTCTGATTTACTTAAGGATGTCATATCGAGCGGATTCAATCATGTACAATGTGTTTCGATAAAGGTCTCTTATCTATTACACTGAAATTTATTGACATTTCGTTGACAAATATTGGGTTAGTTTTATGTTATCGGTATTGTCGTTTCTGATTTTTACTTATTTTGTCACACGACTCGTACAAGTTTATAAAAATTCATGTATTTACATATTATAATAGATGGTTATTTTCTTTTATCTATGCATATTATTTAGTTATATGTCCGTGTGTTGCATTGTCGATCTAAACATTAAGAAATGTCATTAAAACAAAGATGAATAAAAGTATCCCATTTTATTTTGGAGGAAAACTTTCGAAGAACTCATGAAAATGAAGTAAATTGTTCAATTTGAATAGTTTCCACGAATGCCTACCTATTTTACTTATGAAAAATAAATTTACATTTTATTGTTAATCTTTCGTTTTTAATATATGATTATTATTTAAATATTTTCATAGCTAAAAAGGAACTTTGTAGAAACTAGCCAAAAAGGAGATTTTGCTTTATTTTATTGTTAGTGTGTTTTTAGGTAAGTTTTTCCCTAAAACAAAATTAATGTGTCATGTAATAACAAAGATTAATTATGAGAAGCAAATTTCCAACGATGGTGATTATTATAGAGGGCGAGTCTTAAATAAGTGCAAATATTTTCAGGGCTGGTAGATCTCGATAAAAGAAACATATTTTCTCTTTACTGTTTTTCAAATAAGTTTAAAATAACCGAGTTATTTTACTTTTAAAATTAAAAAAATATATATATTTTTTGCTTAAATCTTGAGAACTATTGGATCTTTTCTGGGTTTTCTTTTTTGTAAATTTAATCAACTACCTAGTATGTTGGAGTAGCATTTTATTTAAAATTCACATAATTTAAATAAATGTACAGAATTATTTTATTTAAATAATTCAAGTTTAAGTCCTCGCACCGAGATGGCATTCTAAGTACTGTTATTATCTTTTATTTTTTCTACAAGTTTATTTCTGGCTAGTTATTTCAGTCCGGTCGAAGTTGTTGGTCACTTTATACAGGTAGATGACACTTCTTATGGGAGAACTGGCAATGGTTGAAAACTTGACTACAAGCGATTTTCTAGGAATCTTCCTTACCGATAAATTATTGACAAGAGTGACAGATAAAACCTTGACGTTCTTTTAGTTTTCCAGTTCATCTCTTTTTCTTTCTAAAGTGTGCGTTGAAAGGAGACAAAAACAATTTTTGGTGACCCATAATTTGTTATTCGAACTAATTCGAACACCACTTTTCTCCTTGTCGGGTCGTTGACGTTGACTTGTCGCCATTTTATTTCTTTTGTTTACACGCTGCATTTTGCTTTGCAAGTTTAATACATAAATTATTTAGGCAAATATGGGTTTTTAATAAAACTCCTCGGACTAACGTGTAGGTAAGTGTTGATAATTTTTTTTTCATCTTAACATGCTGATTGTCGTTCTCTTGATTTTAGGTGACAGAAAAGGATCATCAAATCAAATTGAATTTTATATTTTCCTTCCTATTTATCCTTCCTAAATATCAACGAGATGAGCCATCGGAAGAAAGGGACCATAGTACAAAACAGAAAGGTGATCTTTCCACTTCGGATATTGAAATTATTATATACTGTAGTCGTGTTCGGCATTATGCTCTGAGAAATATAGATAAACAAAGAACAACAGATATAAAGCATCCCAGAGAAAAAGAGAGGCAATACCTGTATGTACTCTCTCTGATATTTGTGAAAGTTACAGCAAAGTATTGTTGTAAATGTCATCTTTTTGATCGACCTGAAAACTTCGAGCAAAAAGATGATACTTTCAACAATACCCTGACAGATATCAGAGACGATACAGGTTTTTCCTCTCTTTTCCCCTGGAATACTTTTAATTTATTATTCTTTCTTTATCTAGATTTCTCAGAGCACTATGAACGAACTCAGCTTGTATGTTTGAAATAATCGTCCAGTTGGCTTAAAAATGATTATCGATGACATTTCCCATATAATTTTACTTTCAAAATTATGATAAATATATCTTTTATTTCTAAGCCATCTATGACGCCATTTTTTTTCAGTTTTGTTATAATTAATTTTGTCTCTTGATCTACTTGTAACATTATTCTTTTAATTTTATTAATTTATTGTGGTGAAATTAATTTCTGTTGTATATTAGATATTGATATTAAACATATTTTTAAAAAATGGTGTATTTTTTGTGTTTTTGTGTATGTCATAATTAAAAATAAATGAAGAAATAATTTTTTTTATTTTTTTAAACTTCCCGCCATGCGTGACAATTTAGTCCGTAGTTCCTACAAGCGAAATTGGGGGCGCTAGTAGCAGTAGACTTGTCAACAGTGTCAAATTTAAACGTCAATTTCACTTTCCAATATTTAGCAAGGCGCTCGCACTTCTTGTGTATGTGTTTTGTGACTTTATATCTGACGGTGTATAGTCATACCTCGTGCCTACCTTCCCTCCCCATATTGGTGGCTAAAGCTGAACCCGATAGAGCTATCGGCGTTTGTTGGCATTTTGCCAATTTTTTTGGGAAAACTCTCTGAGCAGAGGTAAGATCTTTATTTTAAACGTAACGTTTCCTAATACCTATTTTTTCTTTGTATAGGGTTTTAGATTATGGCAGCATTTTAGATTATGGCAGAATTTTATTTTATGGCAGAATTTTATTTTAAGGCATTATATGGTGGCTTTATTTTCTGGTGCCATTTTGTTTTTTTTTTGCACCTGACATTTGGTCCACGTTTTGTCCCTATATTTCACACCGGGAATAACGGAGGAATCTCCTGAATCCACACAAGTTTTCGATCCTGTCTGTCCAGAGACGTTTTATACCACAATCCAGTTCCAGTTGCAGTTCACCACAACCAGCTTGCGACCAGCACGGATAAAACAGGCCAGATCATTTGATTTTATATCTATATAATTTAAGTTCATTTGAATTCATTAAGCCCTTCAGGCATATTATATATTTAATTACTTTAGAGTTCAATTTGATATACTTTACACATGTTATGCATATTTCTGATATTCACATAATACGTTTTTTTTTGAATATGAAGAGTCCCTACATTTTGGTACCAAGATCGCCAGCAGTGGGATTCTGTAAGCTCCGTAGCAAGAAATTTCCTGTCTAGCCTATGCTATTTGTATACGATTGATGAGACACTAGACAAGAGAAGTGTTTACAGAATCGGGCCTCAGACTTTATACGGAATAATTAGTAAAATATTAATATTCAGAAGCGTGCAGATTTAACTACCATTTTGAGTGATCTATTTTGATACATACAATTTACCAACAAATATTTTCTAATATCAAATTTTTCATATTCTTATTTTATTCTATTTAACATTTAATTAATTGTACTTAGTTATTAGTTCATCTCAGCGTTTCATTTGTGTAATTCCTAAAATAAGTAATACCTATATTCTGAGTTGATTTCTCAGTTTTCAACTTAGAAGTTTTCGAAAGTAAATGGATAACTGAGTGGCGCCCAGTATCTTATAAAGACGTAAGTATCACAGTTTAATTTTCACTAGCTTACGACCCATTGCTCACCGGCGAACAGCTCCGTCGCATAGTATTAGTTGTTTTAATATTTTTCCAAAAAAAAATTCTTATAAAAAAAACATTCCTTGTTTTTTTAAACTTCTAATGCTACGATGTTATCATCGAGCGGTGTCTCACTTGGGTAAAAAATGTACATGTAGTGCCAAAATTAAATTTACTGCCAAGCACCTGCCAATAACTGAGAAGACTACCTAGCCTATGACTACCATCGCTGATTGAAGGAAATAAGCAACCCTGGTAATAAGCAACCCTGGGTAAGCAACACAGTTCTTTCAATCAACGCTACCATGTAATTATTATAAGCGACTGCTGCTATATTATCGCTTCAATACCCCTTGCACCCCCCAGTACTAGTATGTATGTATGTATAGGCGACTGCCTTTTATGTTTTTAGCTAAAAAAGTTGTTTTCAATAAACTCTGATTGCACCCGTACTTAAAATTAAAGTTAGCAAAAATCCTTGTGTCAACAATTCAATGTTGTAATTTGACCATTGGTTAATTCTATTTTAGCAGGAAGGTCCGCTTATCTCGTATCTGCATATCTGTCATTTTAATTCATAGGTAAATACCGTATGATCGAAAAAAACCGGCGTCCTGTTGGCTAAGAAATGTCGATCCATGACAACACCCATTTAATTTGAAATACCCTACTGGTCATCCAATTTATGTGGTCTGGATTTTGATGCGCGTGACAGAGAATAATAAAAACGACTGTTTAACAGACAGAGTTCAGAGTTAACAGTCACATACATCCGAAAGTTCGTTCCGAAATTTGACAGTTTTGACATTTTTCTGCTGCACTGAATAGAGAAAGATTCATGTCATGTTTTATTGGAGAAACACTTATAAAAATAACTGCCTCGCCAAATATCCCGAAATTGCTCACTTCCCACTAAACTTGTTTTTAAAAAAAATGTTTTCAAAAAAAGTCAGGTTAAAAAACACACGATATCGTACAAAAGTTAAACAAAATTTAACTTTATACGACGTCGGACAATTAGTTAAAATTATCGGATAAAAATTGGTGTCAAAATATTTCGACCAATAGGAGCACCGTCGGATCGTCGTGTCATCGGATTTCGGATGCATGAGACTCCGGCATTACGTACAGCATCAACGTTTTCCAGGGTGAGTACCGTTGTTGGTAGATCTGTTCTTGCATGGATCCTCGCTAAGACTAATCCAATTTTCTTGTTCAGACAACAATCTTCGAAAATTGTAAAAAATTATTGCGCGAAAATTTGCTCGGCTTAATTCCATTTTTCGAACTCGTCAACTTCAAAAATTCAGTTTAGATACAGCTTTAAACGAAGCGGTCTAAAACTTTGACGTTAAGTTAAATTAAAATGACAGTTAATTTTGACATTTGATATATGTTGACAGGCGCCTACTATGTTTCTATATGGAAAATTTAAAAGACAATATAAAAGTTAAAAGAAAACATGTATATTTGTATACGGATATGCTGAAATGGCCAATGGCGTGCTTAATGGTTGGATCACG